TTACAAAGGACTTAAGTTAATGGCCTGCCCCGTGGTTTAGTAACATCAGAGCTGTGCCTTTTTACTTGTCAACGTTGGGGCTTCTCAGCCTCAGCAGCCAGCAGCTGTCTGAGTGAAGAAACGCCTCTAGCTCCAGTGGGCCGGGAGCAGGAGGCAGAGCTGCACCCCAAGGTTGAGGGGCTTTCACCCAGCCCCTCAAGCCTGACACTTTGATCTTGGGCTTAAAGCCTCCAAATTGTAAGAATGAACAGGCCATCCCATTTGTGATGTATTCCTTGTCAGAGCGGCACTAGGGAACCAGAACAAGAGTATAGGCCCATTGCCTGGGTTCAAAGCCCAGCCCCACCACTGTGTGACCGTTGGGCAAGTGATTTAGCCTCTCTGTTTAAGTTGGGTGGTGACAGTGTTTCCGTTATAGGGTTACAGTGAGGATTACTTGTAATGTGACAACAAACACTATGCATCTGCCCAGCGCTTAGTGAACTAAAACCAAACCCACTGCATGGATTCGATTCTGACTCCTAGCAACCCCCACTGGTTTTCCAAGGCTATAAATCTTTATGGAAGTAGCTTTCCCCATCTTCCTTCCATGGACTGGCTGGTAGGTTTGAACCACCAATCTTTTCATTAGCAGTCAAATGCCTTAGGCATTGCGCCACCAGAGCTCCTTAAAACAAACAAACAAAACTCACTGCCATGGAGTCGATTCCAACTCATAGTGACCTTCCCTGCATTTTTGAGGCGATACATCTTTACGGAAGTAGATTGCCCAGTCTTCCTTCCATGGAGTGGTTGGTGGGTTTGAACCGCCCTAGTGACGTCCTCCATCAATGTTTGTCACTGTCATTATAATCAGACTTTTCATCTAGGGCTCTCTTCACCACACTGTCCTTGGAGCAGGAACTATCCCAACTAGAATGACCCAACTCCACTAGCTTGGGTTTGTCTCCCAGCATCTCTGCAAATCCTGCCGCCCTTGGAGGAGTCAAGGGGCCTGACCACAGCATGCAAGCAGACAGACAGACACCAACCTCTTATTGGAGGCCCCAGGGCTGCAGTCAGTGTCCCCACTCTTTGCATGAAATAAAGCCACTAAATGCCCCTGGCATGTGAAGCACTGAAATGAGTTATCTCAGGCTGCTTCTTGCCAGGGGCCAGGACCACATAACTGAGCAAAGGACCTTGAGCCATTAAGCACGGTGACCTAGACACGCTCGGCTGTATTTTTAGTCTCATGTGCACTGTTTCCATCACCTGTGCTGGGCTATAAACTGGAAACAAGAACCGGGGAGGGGTAGGGAAGGTTGGAGGGATATTTCTCATAGCAGCCAATGGAGGCAGGGACTTGCACACTCTTTTATTTCGGAATACTTTTGTACTTGGGGCCAGATTCAGGGGCTGGTCACACAGGACCCCACACTTGGAAAGACTCCATGCTTGATTTAACGCCCTGCTGTTGCCATTTTGAAATTCTCAACAGTCTTGAACAGGGGGCTCCAGATTTTCATTTTGCACCGAGTTCTACAATTATGCTGCCAGCCCTGGTTGTGTACAAAGTGGGAGAGAGCCAAAGGAAGAGAGTGGGCCTTCCTGCAGGGGCCAAACTAAAAAAAAACACTCATTGCCATGGAGTTGATTATGACTCATAGCGACCCCCATTGGGTTTCTAATGCTGCAGATCTTTACAGAAGCAGACTGCCTCATCTTTCTTGCACAGAGCAACTGATGAGTTCGAACCATTTACCTTTTGGTTAGCAGCCACATGCTTTAACCACAACATCCCCAGGCCAGGCCAATATGAGGTGTGTATGTGGTCTGCATGGAGGCCTGGCAGGGGAAGGCCTAGACTTAGCCAGAGATGCCTTGTTTCCAAATCCTGATCAGCCTCATCCTGTTGCCGCCTCTGAAACGGGAGTGAGATGGGAAAGAACTTTGTAAACTGAACAGAGCTGTGCCCTTTGTTCAACTCTTTTCAGAGCATCTCACTTAAATGGTTCCCAGATCCTTCACCACCAGCACCACCATTTTCTTGTCTTATAGAACTTACGGCTCTTTGAAATTCATATCTTTTCATATTAGTTGACTGTCTTCCCTCTTTCAGAATTAGAATGTGAGTTCCACCTCAGCCTGTATGACCATGAGACCAGAAGAACTAGATGGTGCCTGGCTACCACTGTCAACCACTCAGAAAGGGATCAGTACAGGACATCCTGGATAGAGTGGGAGAACAATGTGAAGGATTAGATAATCCTCAACACCATAAAAAAGACCAGGTTGACTGCTCTGATAGAGCCTGGTGAGCCCACTGAGACTATGGTCCCTAGTTTGCCTTCAGGTCTGAAACTGATCTCACTCTCAGGGCATCCAGCCAAATAATAGACAGGCATATAGGGTGAACATTTACATCAGGTAGATACACTCCTTAGAATGATCAATCATGGGAGAACAGAAGGGCAGTCTTTGCACAGGGAGATAGCTCAGGGGGCAGGAATGCATAGGAAAGGATATAGGCAGGAGGTAACTACAGGGAAGAAGTGGGAAGAGAGCTGTTGTTACGTTGTGGGGAATGTGGTCAATGTCATGAAATAAAATGAGTCTGAACTGCTGTATGGAAAATGAATTTGCTCTATAAATTTTCACCCAAATCACAATAAAAATTTAAAAATAAAATAAAATCTTCAAATTATATTTTTTTAAAAAAAGGAAAAAGAAGAAGAAATAAAAGAATGTAAGTTCCATGAGGAAGAGGTGAGCTAGTCTTTTTTGGGGGGGCAGGGGGTGCCGCTAGCCTTGTTGATGCCTGTGTGTGTCCTCAGAGCTTGGCATGCACCTGGTTGAGTATTTGTGGAATGAAGGAAAAAGCCAGTTGTGTGGACTCGACTCCTTGGCGACCCCAAGTGTATCAAAATGGAACTGCATGCCACTGGATTTTCAGCGGCTGCTTTTCCGCCAGGCCTTTCTTTGGACGGCCCTCTGGATGGACTGGACCCTCCAGCCTGTCAGTTAGCAGCTGGGGTGAACCGTCTGCATGGCGCAGGGATTCCTGAATGAAGGAAAGGTCACCTTTACTGACTGCTGGCTTGTTCCAGTGACTTCACCTGCGTCTTCTCAGGGTGCTCCTGCCTGGAAGGATACAAAGTCAGAGGTGAAGACTTACTTCTAGGGCTTGCCGCTGGAGTTGAGTTGGGTTTGGAGGCAGAGATGGACCCAATAATGCAGAAGACGGAGAGAGTGAGCAAAAGTGGAAGGCACCCAGGTGGGATGTGGTGACTGTGCCTCAGGGACTGGGGGGCTGTCTGTCCCCTGCAGGGAAGGGGGCTGTCCCCGGACTCTAACTAACAAGGAGGCCAGCGGATTCTTGAACTGAGGAGTGACACAGTGAAAACAACAACCGAACAAGATTTTTCTTGCCACAGCGCTGGGACATGTGGGTGGAGAGGGAATGGAGATTCAGAGGCCACGTGGGAGGTAGCTAGCTGCGCCCGTGGGGCCCTGGGGTGGGGTGGAATGGAGGGGAGTGGCTCCCAGAGGAGAGGGGCTCTCGGAGCCCGACGAGGAGGCGACTCCCAAGTGGTAGGAGGGCAGGTGCGGGGGTCGTCCAGGGCAGGCAGGGAGCCCTGGGCCCCAGACCGCCCAGCCCCGCTGCTGCGGGCGCGGTGAGTCGACACACGAGGCCAGAAGGTGCCGCCGCCGCGCCGCGCGCAGGTCCGCACTTGCAGGCCCGGGACTCGGCACTTGAAAGGGCCGGGCGCGCCGCCCGGACCTGCCGGGTGGGGCGTCACCGCGCGCTTTAGGCGGAGCGGAGAAAAATCCCCCGGGCCTCAGGCATGCGGGGGAGGGGGAGGCCCGGGCTGGGATCCTGAGGCTCGACCCCGGGCCGGGCTGAGAGAGACCCTGGTGGGCAGCGGCCTGGCACGTGGGCCGTGAGTGTGAGCAAGCCGCGCGCTGGGAGCCGGTGTGGTGTCCAGGGCTAAAGATAAAGGAACTTGTTATTTTCAAGTCCTTGCCCCGTTCTTTCCGAGTTTCTCGCTGTACCTGTTTGCATCTCATGTAATCCTGTGAAGTCCTTTCATTATTCCCATTTTACAGATGACTGAGTCTCAGAGAAATCACGAAACGGGCACCAGTGTACACAGCCAGGGTGACAGGATAGGAACCAGAGTTTGGGTGTTGCAAAACTTGAGATGGAGAAAGGAACCCAACACGTTCTAAGCTTCCACTGTGCGTCAAAGACAAAGAGAGCGGTTTTCTGGCGTTATCTCCTTAGTACAGCCGCCTTGGGGAGTGGGTGCGCTCATCGCCCTCCTCTTACCGATGACGTTCAGAGACTTTTTTTCCTTTAAACTTGCCCAAGGTCTCACAGGTCATCGAGTGGGCTCTGACAGGTTGACACCAGAGCACGCTTTTTTTTTAACTACCCTAACGAGCCAAACAGGGAAACGCGGTTTGCAAACTGCTGCTCTGATTATTACTGCTGTGGTTGAGGCCGTGTTTGGGTCACGACCCCAGTGAGAGTGGATCAGGGGTCACTGGGCGCCCAGCCCGCTTCAGCACAGCCAAACCTCCGCGTGGGGACTCGGAGGCGGGCCCCGGACTCCGCCCCCACCTGCTGGTCCCGCCCCTCGACTGAACCAATGAGACGCGCCGTGGGGCGGGCCCAGGTGCTGACGTGGGTGGGGCCCTGGCGTGAGTGGCAGGCAGGGCGCTCGGGTGGGCGGGCCGAGCGTGCGCAGTGAGT